AAAAAGACAGGAAAATGGTGAATTTGACAGCTAAGATCAAATTCACCATTCTAGCGCAATTCAAGTGAAAGGGCGGCGAGAAAAGACCAGGAAACACTCGACAAAAGTCCTCCCCGCTATTTATAAGCCCTAGCGCGGGAAACAAGGCGTCTAGTAAGGACTCGATCACTCCTACTCGTAGCCGTCATATGCATTTTTTGTTCCTTACATGTGGCTCAAGGAGACGTCACGCGTGACCTTTCAAAACTCGATGCAGTACTCGAGGGAATAACATGTACACGCCGTTTCACTTACGTCGAGAAAAATGCCTGACCCTTGCGCCACCGGGAACACTTCCTCAGATGAAGTTGGAAAGAAAGCCACGACTAAATGTGGCGAGCAGGTCTCTATGCAAGCAGGTCGAACCTGTCGTCTCCCCTACTGTCGTGCGCAGCTAAGGACGCCTACATCTAGTCGTACGCATCACCCTATGGGCCAAAATTGACTCCTAAGTCATTACTCCTCTGCTTCGGAGCAACGACTTGGGGGGCTCCTGTTCTGGGCTAGGCCAGAGGCTGCCCCACCGTCGGGCACGACCCAACCCAACTCCTAGCCGTGGAGGGTCCAATGAAGGCCCAATTCATTAACTCACACGGAGAGCACTCACACGTCTTCCTCACGGTCTCCACATGCTCCTCACGAGAGGACACGTTATCAGCCAACTACCCGCGTCCGAGAGAAAAGGCCATCCACCTTCCGAAGTTCATAGGGAAATTAGACCAGAATGAAGACCACATGTTGGCCTTCCTTACGCCACGTAGATCCTGAAAGTTGTCCGCATTGGGCCTATAGATCCAACTCAGTGCAGATAGTCGTTGGCCCAACGCTAGGGGCACATTATAAATACCCTTTTCACTAAAGGGTCAGGTATTCTGACTTTCTACACTTATGTACTTGCTTTCTCTCTCCTGTTGAAACTTACTTTAGCATCGGAATGTCTTGTAGGTACACCATATTCTCTTCTTCACCACCAGCGAATTAGGAGCTCACGATACGTTGTTGACTGTTGATCTCTTTTTGTTCCGGTAAGATCTATATCCTTTCGTGAGTATTTGACCAAATTTAATACAGAGGCCGTCGAGGTCTCAAACCCAAACCAAGAGATGTTCGTTGGAACCTTCTGGCCTCAAGGTTACGAACTTCAATGAGTCATTAGTTTGGAAAAATGCAGGCTCGACGAAAGAGATTATGGTAGGGATTCAATTTTATTTCAAAGGAGAAAATAATATTACTAGAAAAAACTCGAGATGCATGAGTGCATTATGGTGGAAAGGCTGAAGTTATCTGGATAATGAAGGCATTAAAACATAATACCAGTTTGACAACATGTTATAGTCTAGCATACCAAAAGATTGTTAGAGAAATTCACTGTTAGACATGTGACTTCACACTCAAGAGGGGGTGGGGAATGAATTGTGTGTTTCAGAGAGATTTGATTTTGAAAAAAATTTGAAGTTAATTTTAGAGTTTGCAAGCATTTTAGAAAAGATTTGAAAGTGAGCAGCGGAAAATAAAGTTCAGAAAGTAAAATGTGGAAAGTAAAAGTTAAGGGAAGAAAGAAAACACCAGGAATTATACAGGTTCAGTAAAAAAAAGACATAATCATCTCCCCAAGATTTGATCTTGAGAGTATCCAATAAAACTTAATAGCTTTTAGTAGGTTAAAATCTCATATCCCCTTATACAAGAATAATGAACTTTGTGGCTAACTTCTAACCAAAAAGAGAATAGGGAGAGAAGCGGTGAGTCTTCCTTCCAAATGATTGATTGAAGCCATTAGTCGTCTTTCCACACAAAAATTGGAGCGGTTAGTCTTCAAGCTTCAAACCAAATTTTGCATAGGAAAATCTAGAACCTAGGAGAGCTTTTAACACCAGACTGAGATCATGAACCGAACCGTGGTTTTATAGTGTACTGACCAAGAACGTAGGAGATTTTAATGCCGGGTTGATCTTCAACCTTAATATGATTTTAACATTGAGCTGAGCTTGAATCGAATGAAGATATTTAAACAAGCTAAGTCTTCAAACCGAACTGGCGACTTAGTAACTAAATCCACCAAACCAAGATTTTAACATGTTTAGCTTTGAACCTAAAAATAATCTCTAAATGGATGAATCGTTTGACCAAGGTAAAAACAAAACATACATATCTACCTTTTCAAAATTACAAGTGCCTCACTTGCAAAACTATTTTTTTGAAAGCACTACAGCTAAACATTAGTGAGAGAAATTAAAAAAAATAAGAGAGAAAGGTAGAGAGAGAGAGAGCGAGAGAAACGAGGAATGAAAGCAGACGTTTATAAATGTGAAAATATTGTGGAACAGACCTCTATTTATATACTAGGGGTTGGCACAAAAAAGGAAATTTTTTTGGCCAAAACTGATGATCCAATCGATTGTCATAATACTTTAATCAATTTGTTGGCCTAAAAACAACTGATTAATCAGTTTTAAAAGGCAAGAAAATATATATAGTCGTTACCTATGATTATGATGATGTCATAATTGCTTAAGGCATATTTTTACATCCAATCGATTATGTATAAGTGACAATCAATTGGAAAGAACAAAAATTTTCCCAGAGTTTTTATTACATCTTCTAACTCATCTAGAACAACTTCAAGACATTTTTAGAAGTGTTTTCTTAAGAAAAAAAAGTTTGAAAACTTGTTTGTGTATATAAGTGATTAGCTGTATAACTTTACCAGAACATCCTTATGCTTTTACAATGTATATTTACTAAGACGCATCGGGGAGAGCTTTCATACACTTCAAGTCTTATCGGATGCTTCACTCTTGTAGACATTTTCTTGAGCTATACTTTGAGACGAGGGTTTAAATTATATTGCATTTTGATATCATCATCTGAGAATCATGTGTTATTGACTTTGTTGCATCTTTAACTGTTTTTCACTTGACTTTAGTTATCATCAAATACTGGTTATTAAAAGCAACTTCATCTTCAATAATTGTCATCACCAAAAGCATTTTCATATTCAATGGAACTTCCTTGATTAATAACATGCAAAACATGGTTTCACATTATCCCCCTTTTTGATGATGACAACTCATCTCTCAGGGAGGTGATAAAAGAAATAAAAAATATTTGTTTGGAGTAATTAAACTCCCCTTCAATAACGTAGAGAGTACACTCTACTCCCCTTTAGAGTATACTTCTCCTCCTTTGTCGAAATAAAAAAGGCGAATAAAGACGCAGTGCAATGGTTTTAAATATACAAACATCACTACTACGAAAACAGCTATAATCACGGTTGCGAAAGTCCTATAATAAGGGTTAAACAATTCCTGTTCGGAAGTGTGTGATTGTATGTGGGTTATATACAACCACAGTTCAGTGCCCGTGGTAGAAAAATAAAAAGCGCGCTACCTATAACCACGATTGTTTTAAATACTCGTGGTGAAAGGTATGTCATCATTTTTTATTTTTGTCACATGTTTTGCCTGACTACAGTGATAACTTTCATCCCAATATATAATATTAAATATTTTTAACACAGCAAAAATAATAAGAACAACAAGAACAATAACAAGAACAACAAAAATAACAATAACAATAAAAAGAACAACAAGAATGACAAGAACAAGAGAAATAAGAACAATAACAACAATAATGTAGTTCCATGTCCCTATTTCACTCATGGGGATCATCTATATCTGATTATTTTACTTCTTGCCTTATCGCTTTCATGTTTGATTTTATTTCAATTTGTTGAGTCTCCTTCATGATTGTACTTCTTAGAATCAAGTTTGAAAATATTCGTTTTTAGCATGCATTTCACGTTGGTTAGATTTGATCTTGATTATGATGTTCATTGATCATTTACATGTGTAAGTGGAATGAAACATTTTGTGTTTTTGGTTTAAGTTTGATTCAAAGCAAAACCTCAAACTGCCTTTAAAATTTTGAAAAATTGAGATTTTATATGTTTGATTCGAATTATTGAGTTTACACCGAATTTTTGATCTGATCAAATTGGACATAAGCAAATTCTAAACTTGAATCCGATCCAATCTCATTCCTATCTAAAGATTTCATAATTATACGCATATGACCATGTATGTCTTCTGTCATCTTTATTATGAAGGTATCATTATTTATTTTTACGTTGAAGGTCTCACCGAGGACAATGACACATCTTGTTCTAACCTAGAACCTCTCTACATCCATACAATTTGGTTTCAATGTATTTCCATATGAGCAAACATAGGTTCCTACCATATTTGCCAACAACTTGAAGAAAGAAGTGCTCCACATGTGACAAGAAATGCCAAAGCCTCTCAACCATGTGACTCGTTCCTTGTCGACATCTTGTTCCCTCTATTCTCTAATGTCAGAGAACCATTGACTCAACCAATTCTTCTCTTCTCTAATCAGATCCCTAATCTCCCACCTCCTCACTTTCTTCCAATAAACACAGATTTGCACCGATGAGTGTGACTTTAATAGAGAAATATCTTTCTATTTCGAAATCTTAAATATTTTAAAATCTTCTTCATTATTTTTGAACGTTAAATTAACAGACAATTTTCTGCGGAATATTTATTTTGATCAACTCTGTTGTCTACCACCTCTGCGAAGGAAATATTTTTTGCTTTTGTCCTCATCACTTAATTTACAACAATCTCAAGTTTCGCTACTGAATATCTCTCCACCATATAGATTCTTTTGCTTTTGAACTCTTCCTCTTGACTATTGAGTAATCAATAGTAACATTATCGTATTATAGACCAAATGAGTGTAAGATTTTATAATAAATCAATATCATATTTATATTCTAGAACTAACAAGACAAAATTGACAAGCAAACTACAATTACAATTTTGACTAAACACCTATTCATCTTACACATCATATTCATTTTTAATTACAAAAAGTATCAACTAATAATTAACAATATTGTTCTACGTATTTTTATTTTACAAAGTAATAAATCATTGTTAACTGGAGCAACAAGTTTTATTGCCACTATTTTCAGATATATTTGAAACATTTATAGTTTTTCCATGAGGAACACCAGTAGTAGGAGTAGCTTCTTGTGCTGCAAGTGCTTTTTTTCTTATAACATGATATATATCAAACAAAATGGTTTGAAATGCTTTCTCAACATTAAGTGCTTCCAATGCAGAAGTTTCTAGAAAGGACAAACCCTCTTTTTCTGCTAAACTTTCAGCATCTTCAGTTAAAACTGCTCTTAAATGTTTTAAATCAGATTTGTTTCCGGCCAGCATAATAACAATGTTCGAATCTGCATGATCCCTTAGTTCGCGAAGCCATCTTAATACATTCTCAAATGTTTGTCTCTTCGTTATATCGTAAACCAGTAACGCACCAACAGCGCCTCTATAATAAGCACTTGTTATTGCTCTGTACCTTTCTTGACCAGCAGTGTCCCATATCTGTGCCTTTATTGTCTTTCCCTCTACCTACATCATAAAATGCATATTAAAATACAGTTTGTTACCACGCGACAAAATGGTATTGAAAGGTGCTGATATGTTCTTCACTGATATAATGATAAAGAAAAAATTGTAATTACTGCAATCATTCTTACAACAGCTATACCGACCGAAATCACTAAAGTTTTTACGTGATTGCAATGCAACTATAACCATTATTTAAAAGCTTAGTCAATGCAATACTTACATGTTTTTCTTAAAAATAAAAAAAAACATATATATATATATATATATATATATATATATATATATATATATATATATATATATATATATATATATATATATATATATATATATATAAAGTTTTAAAAAATATTCGTTCTCGCGAAAATGTCCGCGACAAAACAGTATCTATAAGGTGTATACTGATACAATTATTCATTATTTTTATGAAAAAAACATATTTTGGTAAATTCATATCACGACGACTAAAATCAACCTAAAATCGCGAAAGTTTCTAGCGATATTTGTTTAAAACCTTGTATAAGATAAACTTCAATTAACTCATTTCCTTCATTCACAAGAAACCAAAAAAACTAATTATAAAAGTTTTTGTTTATTTTTTGTCACATTTAATTATAAAATTAAATTTTCAATAAATTTGAAAAACATAAAATTAAAGTAGAGAAAGACAGATAAAATTTAATGAAATTACATTTTATATTTAAATAAATCATAAAATAAAAAAAATAAAAAACAGACCTGCAATGTTCTTGTTGCAAATTCAACTCCAATGGTAGATTTAGACTCCAAACAAAATTCATTTCGTGTAAAACGATAAAGAATGTTAGATTTTCCAACACCAGAGTCCCCAATTAAAACTATCTTGAAGAGATAGTCGTATTCATTATCTATTTTGTATGCCATGATAATATAATTTTTTAATAATTTTAAAACCTAAATAAGAAAATGATGGAACAAAATATCAACTAAGTTAATTAAGGTGGTTTTTCATTAGAGAGAAGATTTCAAAGGAGTAAAGAAACAAAGAAGAAGATGGAAAAGAGAGAGAAGGGAAAGAGCACATTGCAATGCAAGGCCAACAATGTGTAAGCGAAAAAACAGAATAAACGAACGAGAAGACACTTTTAACGGCTTTTTACATGGGATATCGAAGAACCGCCAAAATTGATATTTTTTTAATAAATTATTATTATTATTATTATTATTATTATTATTATTATTATTATTATTATTATTATTATTATTATTGACTTTGTTAATTTGTATTTTTAAAGTACCAATTAATAAATCAAATATGCTGTTTTTTTTCCTGTATTCAAGTAGGCATAAAGCCCATTCACAAAACTACATTTTATTTAAGGCAAATATATATATTAAAGGAGGCACAACAACCAAAATACTAGATATTCCGGAAGGAAGGTATAAGGAATACGAAATCCAAGAACAAATCCAAAATATAACATAAAATAAAGAAATATAACAATCTATAAAAGTCCCCATAGATAAAAAAAGGAGGACCAAATCACAACTACAAATTAGAAAAACACATAAAAACCAGTATCAGATAAGGTTAGAGCTAGCTCTTCAAACCAAAGAGACATGCAAAAGCATCGAAACTACAAAAGACGCAACAAGAATACATTTAATGAAAGTTGAAACCACTCACTTCTCTATTGATTTAGGCACATAATAGGATTCTCAAGCTAGTTCGAGAAGACACATGAGTTTTTCATGCACCTCCCAAGATACCATTTCCACACCAAAAAAATGCTCATGTCTTCCACTTCTTTAGATGTCATCGAAGATCCCGAAAAAACAATATCATTCATAGTTTCCAAATTAACCAAACCATGTCATGTCAAATCATCCTCAACCCCTTCTAGACCTAAGACCGCCAATTTGAGGAATAAACATCTGGAAAAGGGTCAATATATCTCTAGGTAAAACAACACACCACCCCAACCACCTAAATATCTGTTACCAAACAGAGGAAGCAACCTCACAGGTCACAAAAAGATGGGAAGTCGTCTCGATGTGGACAAAGTAGAAGGGACTTGAAATATTCCTAGAGGTCAAATGGACACCTCTATTAAATAAGTTATCTCTGATCGGGATACGCTCCTACAAAAGTCGTCAAGAGAAAACGATAATTTTAGAAGGGACGCAACTACACCAAATAACCGAAATGACTAACTTTATAGAATAGACCTTGCGACTAGGGGGAGACGCTCAGGTCAAAAGGCAACACTAGGCAGATGACACCTAATAAACCCCATCACTCGACTTACACTGCCTCCACCCATCACTATCACTAGAAGGGGTGAAGTTTCTAATCACAAATTGAAATTAAGTAAAAAACACCAACTCATAAGCAAATAGGAAATGTCTCCTCCATTTAAGGTCCGAGATCCAACTCTCACTCTCCCATCTATCGACCCCAACAGGTTTATTGGTTTGGTCAGAAATCTGAAAAAGTCTAGGGAATCTAAAACAAAGCGGAGAGTCACTTACCAAAGTATCTTCCCAAAAGGATGTAAGAAGACTATAACTATCTTTCAAGGAAATACCATCCCTGAACCTATCAATAGAGTCAACATTCATACCTCCTTGAAAGAAAACCTCTATCCACTAAGGCTAGGCCAATTGGAGGCTATCGGATCTCCCACTCAATATATAAGTCTTGGGGGTAACTCCATATCTTGAAGTGTGAATATCACGCCAAATATCAGAAACCCTTGAAAGCATGTGCCACCTCCACTTACCCAAGAGATCCAAGTTGACCAATTGAAGGTCACAAACACATATGCCCTCAAAATTTTGTTTCCCCTTAACAATAAGAGTCACATACAATTTACCACACTACTGATTGCCATTTTTATTCTCACTAGCACTCTTGTAGTGAGCATAATTGGCCCTGTTATCTTCGTCATATATTCTACACTTATTCATTAATACTGATAATCAAAAGATCTCCTAATAACCAATGAACTGCTTGATCTCAAAATATAAGCCACATATCGCACAGTGCTGAGACATTATGGCACACAAGGGTAACAACTAGTTCACAACCTAGACCGACTGGACCAACCAGGCTCTGATACGAACTATGTAAAAACCCTAACACTCCAATTATGTATTTATAAAATAATTTAATTAAATTTCTCAAATAGGGCATTGAAGCAATGAAATAAAACATCAAAACCTCAAGAAAAATATTTATTTCTCTCAACACCAATAATAAAGAAATAATTTGAACATCTCAGAAAGAAACATAACATGTAACAAAACAACTCATCCACATATTAGACGATAGACTTCGATCTAGAGGGGGTGAATAGATCACAAATTTAAAACCAAAACTTTTGGAAAATATTTGTTTTCAAAAATTTATGGCACAGAGAAAACAACCCGAATCAAATTGTCTAACTAAACCTACTATCAAAAAGCTCGGGTATGCATAACATAAACCTATGGAATGATAATGAACACAAATTGTTTAACAATGATTAATTTACATATCAATCAAATTCAAAGCTATTCGTAAATTTTATTTCCAATGAACACAAAGAGATAAAAATACTTAAAGACAATTTATCGAACACTTTGTGTGGGATCGATCACGCTTGGAAATTCAATTTGCTTTGTTGATTTTAAAAGACAATCACAATCAAAGTGATTATGATTATTTCAAAACCAACACTTTTTGAAAGATGGTTAAAAAAATTTCAATCGAATTATTTGAAACAACAACAAAATCGATAATTTGTAAGAATACAATTCAAATGAGAAAGCAATAAAGATAAAGAGACACAAAGATTTTTTTAGGAAGTTTTCCAATCGGCCTCACTATGGGTATGTCTTCCTTCAATCCGAAATCAAATTGAGATACTTGCAATTGACCTTATCTTTGCAAAAATGTTTATACAAGAGTTGAAGAACTCCAACCCCACAAACCCTATGGTTTATTGTTGATTCAACCACCTCGAAATCCTTGATCAAAGCTTGATCGAGTCACCAGCAATGCGGCTAAAATCCATCGATTATCCCGAGCACGCACTTGTTGAACTCAAGAGTCCCGAACACGATTCACCATCTCGCGCTACTCCCTTGCAAGGAAACCACATTGTCCCAAGGTTTTCACTCAATCGAATCTGTGTTGACGTGATCTTGTCCAAAAACTTCAAATCCCAATGATCTTAAAGGAAGACCCCACATTGGTTTTTTTATTTGAGACACACAAAAATCTCAACCCAGTATTCTCGGTTACACCAACCTAATTGGATGTTATCAACCCTAATCTAGATGGTCACCCAATTAAAAAACGATTATGTGCAATTTATTGTGTGTATGCATAGAATAAAGATTGAAGATGATGAGAATTTTTGTAATCTGATTTTGTTTAGATTTTACACTAGTACCCTTTCTAATACTCTAGCTGTTGTGCCTCCTTTAATATATATATATATATATATATATATATATATATATATATATATATATATATATATATATATATATATATATATATATATATATATATATATATATATATATATATATATATATATATATATATATATATATATATATATATATATATATATATATACCCTTCCCTTTTTGTGGTACTTTTCCCCTTCTTCTTACTTTCTCTCTCACAAGAAATATTTTCCCTTTTGCAGCAAAGCCTTCCTTTGTTATCTCACATCACTTCCTGCGGAGTACAGCTTTCGATGCACCCAGGACGAAAATCGACGGATCTTTTTTCAGTTCAGTTCATCTCTTTGAGGTTCAATATTCATTATGAAGTTTGCATCATTAGTAATTTTTGTTCATCCTAACCTACCATGTTCATTATATTCCTCATCATCGTATTGTTCTTCTCTGCTGTGAAATCTACCGTCTTCTTTTTATGGTTGTGTTTTATGTTCGTGTTTTTGTTTTTTTGACATTTTTTATGGAATGTTTATCTGGTTTATTCAAATTTGAGTGTGAGGCATATTATGAAATATGGTATATGTTTATGTGTGAGACAATATCATTTTTATGCTTGTGAAATCTTTGTTTAATGTTTAGAATTATTTTTTTCTGTGTTTCCCTAATGTTGAGAATTTGCTTATGCATAGTTATGACAGTATCATGTTTATGATATCAAATCAGCCCAAAATCATGTCCAGGACACCTATTCTTATCACTAACTTGATCCCTGAAAAAAATGTTTGGAAAATGGCTACATGTGTTATCGATCTATGGATAGTGAAGGAACGCAATAGACATCAACATCTTGAAGCTGTTATACATGATGCAGAGGCATTTATTTTGAATTTGCTATGTTTTCATTTCATTATCCAATTTTAACTTACTGATATAATTTTTTCTCTCACACAAGGCTCTAATGAAATATCGAGCCAATATTATTTATAATGGAATGATAGGCCATCATTCAAGCCTATTGGTTGAATATTTTCAGGTATGCTCAAACTCAATTGGTTGAATATCTACATAGTAAAATCATATGATAGCCATGTTAGTTTTTGTTAAATTAAATATTTAAACTATTGAAAGACCATGATAATATATGAAGCTTGTGTTAAATTTATATTGCAGAAAATGATAGAGTATTATATTTCTCTGTATGATTTGTAGGTACATTGTTTTTGTTGTGGAGAGTATGTATTTTGATGAAAGTAGAATCTTTTTCTTGGTATGTAATGTTTTTTCAGTATGCTGCTTTCTTTATGTTATTATCTGATGTTCAACTGAGATGATTGTTCCATAGATATTTTTTTCAAACTTTTTAGTGTTAGTGTGATGCGTAGATGTAACTAAATATTTTAGGTTTGTTTTGGAGGTTCTGTTGTTGTAGCTGAAAAAGTTTTTTAGATGATTGCGTTGATCTGGTT